AAGCTGTTTCGCAGTGCTATGCCTTTTTTGATGAGTGGAGCCAAAACAGTTGGAAAAGAAGCTTTGCGGACTGGAACACAAATTGCAAACGACGTATTGTCGGGAGAAAATTTTAAAGTCTCCCTCAAAACCAGATCTAAAGAAGCTGGCAAAAAATTAGCGAGGAAAGCAGTTCAGAAAGCAGACGAGATGATTGGTCACGGAAGGTTTAAAAGGAAGCGCAAAACCCCCAAACACTTCATTTCGTCTAAAGCCAGGAAGGTGCAACGACGTGATATTTTTGACTCGTAATGGCTTTTCTGTTAAAAGATTCTCCGGAATGCGCAAAATCCGAATTGGATTTATTTTCGTTACCTCCCACACAAACAGTTATCGAAAAAGGTCAGTGGGTTGAATTTCATCCATTAGCCAATGTATCGGAAGGAAGTCCTGTCGAGTTCAATGTTTCTGGAAGCGGAGACGACTACCTAGACTTATCACAGACACAACTCTACGTCAAAGTGAAAATTTTAAAAAATGATGGCAAGCCAATCACGGCTGAAAGTAAAGTGGGACCTGTCAATCTCTTTTTACATTCTATGTTTTCTCAAGTGGATATTAGCTTAAATGAAAGACTCGTTTCCACCAGTAATAACACGTATCCTTACAGAGCCATGATAGAAAAATTATTGAATCATGGTTTTGATACGAAAACGTCTCAACTGTCATCAGAATTGTTTTTCAAAGATACAGCAGGACGTATGAACGTTTTTGATATTCAAGACACTCAGCCGAATGAAGGATTCAACCAACGAGCAGAATTGTTTAAACTGAGTGCTTCGGTCGATATGATTGGTCGATTGCACTTGGATATGTTTCATCAGGAAAGACTTTTGCTGAATATGGTGGATATGAAAATTAAACTCATACGCAGCAAACCAGAATTTTGTTTATTGGGCGAAGGTGAATTTAAAGTTTTACTCGAACAAGCTTCATTGTTTGTACGCAAAGTGAGAGTCAGTCCGGGTGTTGTGCTAGGACATGCCAAAAGCCTAGAAAAATCGACAGCCAAATATCCCATTAATAGAGTGCTCTGCAAAGCCTATTCCATTCCAACGGGAAATATGAGTTTTATTCAAGACAATATTTTCATAGGTCAAATGCCTAATCGTATTGTGGTGGCATGTGTCGATAATGATGCCTTTAACGGAAACTATAAAAAGTCTCCTTTTGAATTCAAGCATTATAATATGAACTTTATCGGCGTTTATGTGGACGGGCAACCGGTACCTCATAATCCTCTTCAGCCTAATTTTGACAAAAATCATTTCATACGAGCTTATCAGAATTTATTTATGAATGCAGACGACAGAGGACTTTACCTTTCAAGATCAGAATTTTCAAAAGGATATTCCTTATTTCGCTTCGATCTGTCACCTGACCTTTGTGATGGCTCTCATTTAAATCTGGTTCGACACAGCAACTTAAGATTAGAAATAAAATTTGGGACTCCCTTACAACAAACTGTTTCGTTATTAGTGTACGCTGAATTTGAAAATTTGATAGAAATCAATAAAGCTCGAAATATTCTGTACGATTTTGGAAACTGATGAATTCATCACAGATTCATCAAATCTTATCTCGAGATCCTATTTCTTTGAGATATTATGCGGGTGTTTTTCCTTGTGATAAAATACCTGCGATTCAAAGTTTTCCCTGTGCACTGGTGCTCAATACTGATAAACATGATGAAAAAGGAACTCATTGGCTAGCTGTCTACATTGCAGACAAACAGACTCTGGAATTTTTTGACTCTTATGGACTCCCGCCTGAAGTATATGGAAAAGATATCACATCCTTTGTCAAGAAATATCGTCATGTTTGCTGGAACAAGATTTCGCTTCAGAGTTTAACTTCTAATGTATGTGGACATTATTGTATTTATTTTATTATTAAACGCTGTCAAGGACTCTGTATGGAACTCATTGTATCACCCTTAGATGGGAAGAATCGTGATTTCAAAATATTTCAATTTGTCAAAAAAAGATATGGTGTAAACATGATTTTTAAAAAATAAAGTTGTAAAAATGTCTCTTGTGTTTCTTGTTTCTACACTTATTTAAACAAAATCAATAAATGTTTTATGCAAAAGGATTTTCGGTGAAGTATAAAAGTCAGTGTTTTCTTAACATGCTGTCATTTCCAAAAATGGAACTGCCCAAGTTCGTACATCCTTCTACTTGTCTTCTGAGCGGACCTACCGGTTCGGGTAAAAACGGTTTTTGTGAAGAAATTGATAGATCATAAAATGTTCCATCCCATGCCGACCAATATTATTTATTGCTACGGAAGTTATCAACCTCTTTTTAATTCCATGAAAAATGTAAATTTTGAAGAAGGATTACCATCTAACCTGCAGACTCTCCAAAATGCTTTAATTATCATAGACGATTTAATGTCTGAATTAGCAAGTGATACTCGCTTAAGCAAACTTTTTACAAAAGGAAGTCATCACCGAAACCTTTCAGTCGTTTTTATAACACAAAATCTTTTTCACCAAGGCAAGGAGATGAGAAATATTCATTTAAATTCCCATTATCTTGTCTTATACAAAAATCCTAGAGATAAAAATCAAATCATGCATTTAGCTAGACAAATGTTCTCCGGAAAAGTAAAGGCCTTTCAAGAAATTTTTCAGGATGCTACTTCAACTCCATTTAGCTACTTGTTGATTGATTTACGACCTGAAACAAGTGAAACGCTTCGCCTTCGCACAGGCATCTTTCCTGGGGATAAATACTATGTCTACCAGCCCCGATAGTTCATTTCAGTTTGAGACGTCGAATGGCTAACATGTCTTCTCCCATCGTGATCGATTTCGAAGGTTTTCAGTGGATGCCTCATTGTTACATTGTTAAAGAATTAGCTTTTTACTCCGTGCATGAAGGATATCACAGTGCTGGTCATTTTTACCCCCTCAGCCTTGGAAAACATTATCACGATCTCAGCAAAAGTGTTTTGCTTGGGTCACAAGAAATCGTCATCATGTGAATTGGAGTGAGGGTGTTTTACCTTATACTCATCTTCGTATTATTTTGCAATATTTGTCATCTATTTATTCTGTCATATACGTGAAAGGATTAGAAAAGAAATTATTTTTAGAAAATTTATTATGTAGAGACATCATAAATCTAGACTGTCCTAAGATAGAGAATTTAAAAAAGAAAAGTTCTTTAACATGTTCGATTCATGCAAAAGGATTTAATTGCTGTGCTTTAACCAAAGCGGCTGCATTTGCTACCTATATAAAAGAAAGTGTGCAAGAAAAAGAGCTCATTTGTCATCAGAATGTCTCATCTGAAGGATGTGGATTATCTAAAACTATTAGGAAAAAGTCGAATAAAAGCAGCTGTACTGAAAAAGTGTCCGAATCATCTCATCAAATCAGTTTGTGAGTGTGTTTTAAATCTTCTAAAAGGAAACGTACCCATCACCAAACGCGTCAAAAATCGACTCGCCCCTTTTAAAAGAACTTTAAGAAAACTAGCGGACAAAAAAGTACCTCTTTTTAAGAAAAGACGTCTTTTGGTTCAAAAAGGTGACGGTTTTCTATCTTTCCTGATTCCTGCAGCAGTCAGTGTCTTATCCTCTCTTCTCCATGGAACACAGTAAGAAATTTGCCTTGGTACCGCTGGATCGTATGCACCAGTTTGAAGATGAACATTTGAGTGATTTAGATACCCAAATTCAAAACATCTTAAAAAAGAAAATGGACGATGAAGAAAAATCCAAATTGTACATCCAGGTTCTGCAAAAGTATGTTACGTTTCTTCATGTGAATGCGTCTGAAAAACAACCGTCTGAACAATTTTCTGAGACAGATGTAGAAAAGGAAATTTTGCAGACTGTTCCTGTGAAACAGAAAAGAACGGCACAGAAAATAATGGATTTCCTAAAAGAACATCAGATTTCCTGGACACACAATAAAGAACTGATTCTGGACGGTCATGTGTTTTCTGGGTCCAACATTGTTCAACTGATAAACTTTCTGTTGAGAAATAGAACTGAAAGACCTACTGCCTTTGAACAGTTTAAAAATGTACTGAATGTGAATAACTTTCCTCAAGACTTTGTGAAAAACAAACATTTAATGAATGTAAAAACGATGTATGCTAGACCTAAAAGAAAATCCTCTTCGAAACTATGGCTGAAATTGTAATGAAATGTTCATAATAAAAGTTAATTTCTGATTATTTGTGTTATGTTTTTCTTTGATAAAGTTAATATATAAAATCATTTTTTTCTGATTAAACTAATATATACATAATCATAACCATTATTTTCTAAAAAAATATTTAAAAAAACTTACCTTTCATGAAATCTTTTCCAAAAAAAAGAAAAAACACCATATTTTATCATTCAAACTTCTATTTTATTTTACGTTCATTTACAGATACTGGATGTATCATAATGTATATTTACATGCAAACATTTTTTTTGTACAACCATTATATATAGTTATATATATAATATAGTTACAAAAGTCTTTCTTTTAAAAATCCAAATGGTAAGGTGGCTCAAGTCTTTTGAATCACTCGTTTGTCCAACACAATTTTGTATAGTTTGTTTCGGGTTTATTCATCACCTTTCTTCTTTTTGGTTCTCGGGTGATTTTGGAGGGGTTGTGGCAGAGCTATGACATCCTTTTGGTCCAGACTACATACCAGACTTTTGATGGCTTCAAAATTCAGCAACTGGGAATTTCGGAAGTTCAACGAAAATCCTCTGACTTTGCAAGCAGGTTTTCCCAGTGGCCGTCTGGTACGCATAGTTTTTCGGACCTCCTGAAAAAAAATAAAAACATGGTGAGAAAAAGACATAACAGAAAAAAACATTCAACATTTTTTGGTACATATTAAATAAAGAAATTTTTTAAAGGTCCTTACCTGACACGAAGGTTTTGATGACATCTCCCATCCAGTTCGTCCGTAAATTCCCCTAAGAAGTTGCCCAAGGGGGGATCATTGCGGACCATTCGAGGCATAGATGATGGAGTCTGTGTCGTGATACAGGACATCTCGACCCAGCTTCTCCATTTCACTATACAGCTTGAGACGAGCCCAAGCTGTTGTGAACGTCGCTAGAAAAATGTTGGTCGAGGCATCCTGCGGCACAAACTCCTTCGCAGAATCCCAGTAAATGGCAGCCACCTCAGGCGTGGGGAGAAAGACATCTTTGATCTGAAAAAATAGAAGAGTCATGAGTTAACAGTTCAAAATAGTTCATAAGTTAACAGTTTGAAACACATTGAGTTTATAGATGAATAAAATCGATAAGAAAACTTACTTTTTTAGTAGGATCCGCCAACATCTTATTAAAGTCTGGCACCGTATGTACATAGGTCAGTTGGGCTTTGTTGACGTTCATACCCCATCTGAAAAAAAATCCAATCATAAATCACAAACGAATTAAAAATATTTACAAAAAATTTAAGTACAAAAGAAATCATCTTACCTGCCCCAGAAACTGTTTCAGGGCCAACTTGGCGACTTGTCGACGCCCAGGGTTTTTCGAATTTTTTCGGCCTCCAACTTGACGCCCTCTCTTTCTTCATACTGGCGAATGTACTTCAGTCTGGCTTCTTCCGTCACACACTCCGAAGGCCATCCGCTACTTTCCTGCTTGATCTTCAGAAAGAGATCAATGTAGGAACGAAACAGGGAAGTAGACGATTGCTTTGGAAATGATACACTTCGTAAATCTAGAAAATAAAAAATAAATTTCAGTTATAAAAAAATTTTTAAAAGTAAACCTCTGAAACTAAATAAAGATTAAAATAATCTTTGAAGTACTTACATGTGTGACGCGGTAACCTTTCTTTTTCGCCAGCTTGACTTCCTCCGATACCCACGTTCCGACAAGAGCTCGCTCGTCGTCTGTGTGGGTACACGGAGACTGCAGTTGAAGAAGGGCGCAAGTCCGACACAGGGGGAACATCAGCTTCTTCCGGCACCGATAGGGCAGTACCGGAAGATACAGGATTCCGTGGAGGAATCACACGGCATTGGATAATTCCAAAGTAATTTTCCACATCCTCCAAAGCTTTCCGTGATGATTGTTGGATGTCCCACAGGGTAGACGCAATACTTGTTCACCTGTGAATAAAAAAAAAAGTCAGAAAAAACACATCATAAAAATATACAGAAAATTTAGAAAAGTTTAAGTAAAATTTTTAAATAATAAAAAGTACGAACCCATGGATAGAGTGAAGTAAAATCCACATATTTTGCGTCTCCCTCGTGGAACAATTTGAGGGCATTGGTCCTTCCTCCAAAAAATGACTCGCGAGGATGGAGCCGGTCCCTCAGATGGTGTTGATCCAGGAAAGCTTGGAGATCTGGATTTTCCTCTTTTTCTCTCTGAAACTCATGCTCCCACATTTCTATGACGTGGAAACCCTGGGTGCGAAGCTTTCTTGTCGTCTCTTCTGTCTTTTCTCTTAACGTTGCCATGGAAACTCCTTTTAGCGGATGTATGATATCACCATCGTAGCATAAACTACACCCATAGAAGAAACAGCCCTAAAATAATACAAATATATATTAATAGGGTTCATGTAAATTAACATTAAAAGTGTAAACTCATTAAAAAAGAATCACATAGAAAAAGAAATGGTTATATTTTCTTACCTGAAACTGATAGACGGTTTCAGTTTCTTGGCAGAAACCGTCTACCGAGATTCCGGCGATTCTGTGCTCTCCGGAACCGTTCAACGCATGTTGAATGGCAATGCCTTCCGAAGCAGCAACAAAGTCCAACCACCGGATCGAATCAGGGCTGTAATTCGTGGAGTTGACGTAGCCGTGTGTGGGCACCATGGCAATCGTGTCGGGCTGAATGTGGCCACTCCGATACGTTGCCATACAGGCTGACGCAATGGTCACGTATCTGAAAAGAAAAAAAAACAACTTCATGAGCATGATTATTCTATAAGAACATAACTGTAAACATGATCATTATTGTATAAAATAAATTAGAAAATAACTTACTGGAATGGATCCACACCCGCCACATCCAAAAACTGGGCTCGAAACTCCAGGCAACAGCGACGAAGAATGTCCACGTCCGATCTATTAAAAGAAAAAATGTTAAAAATACGAAATATAAAATATAAGAATAAAACAAAATCTTAAATAAATAAGAATAAAGGAGGGAAAAAATATACCTGCAATAGGCCAGCATCTCTGCTTGGAAGTTAAACACATCCCCCTTGTGTTCTTCGTGCCAGGATAGAAATGCCTTTCGGGCTGGAGTACTCATGGTGTCCGGGCTGTAGTACCGGGCCTCAGGCAGCGGTCCGACATAACTCTGGTTTTCTCGGGAGTTGAAAAGATGGGGAAAGTATCCCTTTTTTAATTCGGTGAGACCGAAGCATCCCGGTAGCTTGGCCAACGCCATCGGTAAAAAATTTAACGAGTCTATGACCCGAATGTTCAGACTAGGATGTCTTAAACACATGATCATAGACCCGTTAGGGATCACCTCCGGCGCTGTGCCTTGCTCCAGGAGCCAGGCCATCACGAACTGTCCGTCGAACCTGTAAGTAAAAAAAAAACATTATGAATAATATTGAAAAAATAGTCATGCTTAAAGCATGCAAACTATAGTATTTTATCTTACCCTTTCATGTTATGAGCCAAGGCGGTGTACCCCTTGTGCTCTGTGGAGAACAGCCAGAAATCTTGGCATGCCATGTGTCCCGGAAACAAAACACCTTCTCTGTGCCGTCGGCATACTGAGCCACCGCGAAATTTACGAGGTGCTCCCCCGAAGACTGGTCCGTTTCGAAGTCAAAGAAGATAAGCTTATCCTCGGACTTCTTCTTCGGAGCAACACGTCGCAAATAACAGCGGTGCTCAGCAGCCACGACAAACTGGCCGCAAGACGGACATTTGATGGTTCCGCACTTATGCAACTCTTTACAGCAATCCCGCCTCCGGATCACTTGGCAGCATTCCCTGCATTGGTATACCTGTAACGACAATTATTTTTTTTTAAAACACAACCATTTGAGAAAATTATATGATAAATAACTTTGTCATTAAGATAAATTTTCAAAAACACTTACCTCTATCGCAAAGTGAAAACTCTTGGTTTCCAGTGAGGGCTTTGTGTGCTTCAAAGCAGGCATCGGATCGGCAGAGACGGTCACAATCCTGGACATCGTTGGGGCTACGCCTGGAAAGCACAGTCGGTCCTCAGGACATATGGGACAGGCATTGGCACATCTATGGCTTTCCGGATGATCATACGGCTTTTCACATGCTGTGCAGTAGTATGGTTGCTGCCAAAAAACCCTTTTCAGGGATTTGATCACATCGTAATGTCCATCGTGAAGCCACAAATTGATCCGTTGAGACCTCTCCTTTCCTTTATAGACCACCTTAAATACAGAAAGAAACACAAACATTTTCTCTTAAATTCCAAAATCGAACCCTTTAGAAATAAGTTTTTAACATCGAAACGAATAATGCATACATAATCATCTAAAAATTCCCTGTGAATTTATAACATTTTAACGAATTGTGTGCATGCATGCATAAAATGAATCTAAAAATAAAAAATTCTTCATGCATTTTTTTACAAGTCATATTTTTAACATCGAAGCGAACCGCATACATGCATGCATTTATACATAAAATTTAACGCAATCTAAAAAATTCGCCATGCATTCAGTTTTACAAGTTAAAGTTTTAACAATTAAATGATCAGAAATATATGCCTAAATGTTAACTTTTTGCAAATTATATTTTTAACATAGAAACAAATTGCCTTTCGTGCATACATGTAAATAAAATCTAAAAAGTTAAAGTATTCTAAAAATAAAAATTTTTTAAAGTGAAAGTTTTAACGAATTGCATACATAAAATAAGAAATTAATCTAACAATTTTAAGTAAACTAAAATCTCACTATGCATTTAATTTCTATAAGGTATATTTTTTAACATCGAAGCGAACTGCATACATTCATGGATTCTATGCGTGAATATGCATAAAATATAATCTTAAAATTTAGACTAATTCAAAAATTCACCATGCATTTTTATAAGACATTGTAAGGATCTTAAGTTTTACTAACGTTTATTTTTATTTTAAATCTTTACTATCACTTCTTATTTTCTACTTCCGGCCAGAATTATAAGCGTTAAGGTTTTTATGCAAAGTTGTCTGGCGAACGCCAAGTATTTAAGTTGTGGCTTTTTGCCAAGCGAGAGAGAGGAAGCAGTGTGTTCGAAGCAGGCCGCTTACCTTAGAAGTTACGCAGTTGCTGTTTGCCTTCCAGGCCAGAGGTTTTAATCCTCTTGATAAATTTTAAAACGTATTGTAGTGTTCACAGTTCTCTGTACTACATACGCTTCCTGTTAATATAAGGCCAATCTTCCACGTTTATTAGTTTAAAGTTAAATTACAGTTTAGTTTTATTTTATACTTTTACGTTAGACCCCAAGTAGCGGGTCAGTGTATTCCGAAGTACGGAAGTTATTGTATATAGAGAAAAATAAAGGGTTTTGTATACCCTTCATGTGTATCCTGTCTACTTACCACAATTAGTGAACATAGCTTTAGTAAGCTCTCTGTTCCGAGTCAGGTCCTTGTATGTTCCCGAAGAAGGTAAGAAGGAACATTGAACCTGATAGTGGCGCCCAATGAAGAAGAATAACCATGGCCGAGTTTCAAGAAGAACCTGAGGCTGCCTGCAGAAAACGGCTCAGAATCCAGAAATGCCAGCTGCCGCCCTGGAAGGATTTGGTTACATCGTCCAGACCATGCGCGCATCGATGAAACCAGAAGCAACGTTTAATGACGGAAACTCACCGGTAACCAGTTTTTTGGAAAAATTGGAATGACCACTTCATGCTCTACCCCGTGCACGAGTTTCAAAAAGTTACCTTAGCTACCAGCGCTTTGAGGGGCCAAGCGCTTAATTGGTTCAAATGTATAGGCAGAAGTCTCTTGGGTCAAGCAGGAAGTCCCACCTATACTTACGAAAATTTCAAGACTGCCCTACTAAAAGCCTTCCCTGTTGTAAGGGATCGTGCGAAATTAGAAACGGAACTTTTCAGTATATATCAACAAAGAATCGAAAACCTCTCGAGCTTTATTTTAAGAAAAATTCACGTTTTCAAACTCTTGTATGGAAACCGTCCGGATCCTGAAATAATTCAAGTGATTTTGCCGAGGTTACTGCCCCAAGTGCAAGACTTTATTGAATTAAGAAATCCGACTACACTGGAAAAGTTATTTGAGCTCGCAATCCAGTTTGAAAGTAGAAGAACGGCGGACGTCGAAAGAAGACGTCAATATCAACAGCGAAACCAATTTGGTACGCCAAGACTACAGCAAACTCAAGCACACGGCTACGGAGAAAACGCGAATCAGTGGGCAAGGAAACCCGAGCATTCAAAAACAGCCGGCGAACGTCGACAGTTCAATAGCAACCCAGGAAAAAAGTCTCAAGGCCAGTGGAAAAAGAAGGAAAGCACGGAAAGGAAAAATAATTTAAACTAAACGGATTTCTGCTGACGGAGAGGGTGCGGAAATCCGAAGGCCAAGAAAACCCCTCTTCCTACAAGTTAAATACAGTAATGGTGAAAAATTTGACTCTTCCGAAGATTGAAGTCTTGGTGAATAATATCCCAGCCACCGCACTCCTGGATACAGGCGCGCAGTGTTCCTGTGTGGCAGAAGATTTTTTTAGGAAGTATTTTCGCAAATACCGCATATATAATTCGGATAATACGACAGTGTTAGCGGCGCAAGGAGAAAAATGTAAGTGCGTAGGTAAAGTACCGTTGTATATCCGTATCAAGGACGAACAAGTAAAGGTGATGTGTTTTTTATAGTAAAGAATCTGCAAGCACATATAATTTTAGGAATAGATTTTCTTTCAGAAGCACAAGCTACGCTGGATTTTAATGAAGCGTCCCTTAAGCTGACAATGAAACCAGTTCGTACAGAAAACGCTGAACCGCCGATGTTAAAACTTGACCACCTCTCTAATGACGAGCAGGGAAGAATCCGACAAGTGGTAAGTGAATTTGCTTCGTTATTTAGTGATATTCCAGGATTTACTCAGGTTACTAACCATAGTATTGACACCGGAGATGCAATGCCAGTTCGTCAAAAACCATACCGGTATGATAAGAATAAGGAAAAAATTATAGAATGGCATATTACCGATATGCTACGTAAAAAGATCATAACGCCCATCTCAAGTAGTTATGCTACTTAATATTACCAAAAATACGTTTCGAGTATTGACTTCAGCTTTGAATATTTCCTTTTATTCGGCATATAAATATTATGGATGGAATTGCATCTGCTACACCAACGCTGTCACCAATCCTATGTTGTTGTAAATAGTTTCGTCATTTTTTATTGACTGAACATTTTTCAAGCGATTTCTTGTTGCATTTAGCTCTTAAGAAAAGACTATGCTTTGAGAGTCATCAAATACCCATAATAAAGCCCATAATAATACATAAAAGCATAATTTTATATGTTTAAATTTGCTATATTCTTCTTCTACTAACTGCCATATTACAAGTATATCAAGAATCTACTTTACTTAGTTAATTATATGATTTTAAAGTGATATACTTTAATACCTTGTAAGGTTTCAAGTCAGTTGATACTTGAATTTAAGTACTACTACCCTACTAGAGAGTTAGCGAGCAATCGCTACGTCTGAAAATACTACGGTATAAACTTGCGAAGGTTAATACAGCCTTTTAATTAAATCGAACTGTAATATCGTATGATTTGTATTACAGATAAACCTCTACTTTGGGTGAGGTGATTTCGTCAACAACAGATACATAAATTTAAACGTAGTACAAGTATATAGGCATAGCATAAGTATAACTAAGCTATAAGCTGCCTCAACTTAGCTTTAGTGGAACATTTGTTTAAAGCAATCGGCTGCGAGAGAATGCGAACGCCGAGATAATAATATTTAGATAGAGCTGCCAGAATCTAATAGTTCTAAATGTGTTTCTTAACCTTTCTAGCGAGTCGCACCCCATTGAATATGAAAATATATCTCCGCACACCATTGAAAATTGTGTTTTAATTCTTTTAGTCGAGAAAAATACATTTTTGCGAAAGTTATTGTTTATTGAATAATATTGTACATTTTATATAAATACAAAACAATATTATTTTTATTAATGACTAGTCTGTTGTTTGTTCATTATTATACTGGCGAAGCGAAGTTCCTTTTTCTAAAGACATACGCGTAAGTCAATCACTTGCATTTAAGCGATTTCTCGCTTTAGTTTTTATATGCAAAAGCGATGAAAATCCCATTTCGCACAAGTAGGTGGTAGCAAAGGGTAAGAGTAACTGCAGTGCTCCGTTCGCCAACTCTGGAAAACTCTGTAACTATGAACACCAGAATTGTTGCAATTCTAATTGTTCGAATTCCATTTGAACACATCCACTTGCTCGCATTTCAATAAGTTGATCTTTTTTCAGATCACTATCATCCATCAAATTTAAGTCAAGTAGAAATGGATGCAGTATCTATCTCTGAGTTTTGGTAATATTTCCGGTAGAAAAATATCCATTGAATGATTCGCTCAATCGTCGAATCTTACAATGTCGGGTATAATTGTATTCTCTTCAT